GATTATTTATTATTGCTTGGAATGTTATTTAATTTTTAGCCAAAAAATGGCAAACTTATAAAAAACTTTAAATTTTTTACCAAACATAAAACAATCATTACCTACTTCAAGTCAGGTCAGGTCCAGTGTTAACGTTGTTGTAAAAAAATCATAGTCAAAACCATTAAAAAACAAAAAAATAGTAATTTATTTAGAGAAACTGGACGTAAAGAAATAATATTACAAATAACATTGTTTAAAAAAAAAATAAAAACAAAAATCAACATCGCATCCGGAAAAATGTAAGTCAAAAATATAGATTTTACGTCAAGTACAAAAAAAATTTAATTAAAAAAGCAAAACGAAGAAACTTTTTTAATAAATAAATAAAAGTGATAAAGACCTAGAAAAAAATCTACCAAAATTGAAATATTAATAAAAACGAATAAAAAATACTAATTTTTTACAAATTTTGATTACTTGTTATTTCTTTAACTATAATTTAATTTTTAGCCACAAAATGACAAATTTATAAAAAACTTTATTTTTTTTACTAAACATAAAACAGTTATTACCTACTTCAAGTCAGGTCAGGTCCAAAGTTAACGTTGTTTAAAAAAATCATAGTCAAAACCATTAAGAAACAAAAAAATTGTATTTTTATTTAGAGAAACTGGAAGTACAGCAGTAACATCACAAAGTAAAATTGTTTTCAAAAAAAAAATTAAGAAATAAAAAATGAATATGTATCCAAAAAATGTAAATTAAAAATATAGATTTTACATCAAGTGCGAAAAAGTTGTATTTGAAAATAGCAAAACGAAGAAATTAATGACTAAATAAATAAAACTGATAAAAACGTACCAAAAATATAAAATTATTAATGAAATAGAAAAATTGTAGCTTTTTACTAATTTTGATTACTTGTTATTTATTTGACTATCTTTTTAATAAAAATAACAAACATAAACCACTTAAAATTTTTGACCAAACATTAAAAAGACATAAAAAATTGACAAATGTTTAAACAGTGTTTGTTTCTTTTTTGTAGCATCAAAAATACTATTAAATCGTAAAAATTCTATTAAATTTTCAATGCAGTATCTCTGACCTCGAATTGTCGCTACGCCCCTGGTTTAATAAATTTTGATTAAATTAAAACAATAATTCTCTGATAAGCAGTGATTATGTTTTGGATGATCCTGTATAAATACTATTATCAACTCTGAACAGCAAGTGAGCATAGATAAAGCCAAAGCACGTCATTTCCCAACTTTGCAATTTTTGCGCATCTCTACCGGAACTGTAGCCACAACTCCGGAAACCGGAATCGGGTCAAAACTTCCTTATACAAAATAAAACATCTCCACTTAACTTTTGAAGCTATCTGTTTAATTCATGACCAGTCTTAAAAACGTACCGTCCTTGAGGTCATAACCGGAAAAATTTTGTATAAGAAGCTTTGAATTTCTTGCACATTTTCAATTGTACATAAATCGTGTATTATAATGAAAAAAATTAAAAAAATTGCGGCAAGGCCTGGCAATAAAAAGCAATACTCGAATACCGAAAAACGCTTAATATTCGTACGTAAACTGACAGAATTTAATAAAGCAACGAACTCATAGTCGTAGATGTCAATTCGTATTATTAAATTATATTCCTGTATAGTTCCATATTCGTTACGACCTTAAACCAAGTGAGATAAGTAGGAGACAGTTAAGCAAAGTAAAGAAACTTTTAAATAATTCAAATTCATATCTTTTCAGTTAATTTTAGTAGATGTACTACGAGTAATGGCCAAAAATGTACAACGAAATGATTTCGAAGCGACAATTTTTAATTGTTACTAGTATAACCATCACAGCCTGAAAAAGATTATTTTTGCAATTACGAGTTTGCTGTAACATTTAAAAATAGACATGTTTCAGAAGCGGATTAAAATCGCTGATTTTAAGTACAAAATTGGTGTTTCTCGATGTTTCGTGTACTTGTCCGATCCTGCACCCGGAGTTTAGTGTCTTTTCGTGGCTGTGGTTTTGATCAGTGTCAGGAGAGGTGGTGCAAAATCGGGCAAACTTGTTTAAATTTGTCTCGATGTCTCTCTACGAACAAAAGGTCCAATAACAAGACTGTTTTAGTCCGTTTCTGAACCGGATTGCTCGTTCTAGTCGTATTCTGTGTTAGTCGTTTTAAGTTTTGATATACATATTGGACATAATATATTTTTACCTTTACTACATGCATACTCTATCGGAGGGATTCTCAAAATCAAAACTGAAAGAGCCACAATGAAAATTTTCAAGTTCAAAGCGATTTTGTGTAAAAGCAATACTGATGCATGCACTTAGACTTAAGGTAATTTAGGGCTTATGATAGTGAACCAAGTGATATAGAGATGGGGCAGACTTGTTTTGGTTGTCAGCTTGAACTAGTCGCAGCCTTACAACATACACCAATTACATTTAAAGAAAAACTTATCTTGCGTTTCGAGTTTCGTAGTGTTCACGTGTAAGATTAGAATAGCTAATTCACAAGGACTACAATAAAGCGTTCCATCCGTTCTATTCCAACTTTCCACAAGCAACAATAATGCGCTTCCTGCATTCATTTAATTTCTATAAGGCGTAAAATTCTCGCTTCGAGTTTGATTGAACGTTTTTTGAACTTGTGTGGGGTATAGAAGGGGGCGAGCAGCAGAGCCGCGASCCCCCTACAATTTTTACTATCTACCACTGTTGCCAGGTTTGGTGAAATTTTTCCAGATTTGCTGATATTCATTGAGTCTAAAGATTTTATAAAAA